TGACAGACGTATGCCCTGTAAGCGTTGCTGTCCAGATAACATGAGAACGTGTAATAGTAAGCGGTCAGGAAGTGCTTGCCACAATTATTTTTGCCCAAAGGTTGTACAGCTGGCTGATGCTGGTCGACCTTCCAAGCCCCTGCTCACTCCATTCCACTAAACTGCCCCTCAGGCTCCCATTTATTAAGCTATTTGCTTACTCTGCAGATACAGAGGAACACACCTACTGAGAAAAATGAGAATAAGGACTGAACTGTACTTTTTAGAAACTTTTATAAATGGTGGGTGTTGTGAAGGGAAGTGGGAATGTCTGGCCCCCAGATCCAAACCAACACAATGGTTAATTCAGATGAGTAATAAAGAAAAGGCTGTTCCCAGAATAGCTGGGCACAAACAACTTCCAAGTAGAGCCCCCTTCCCTGCCAGGAAGAGGCCAGAAGGCCAGATGCCAGGCTCTGGACCTGCCCTGAGGCCTGAGGGGCCTGTGGGGAGGCCAGAGGGGTGGTGGAGCCCACCCCCCTTGTTAGGAATGCCAGCTCTGATGCTAACTAGCCACAAGGCCTCAGACGAGTTGCTTAACCTCACATGCCTCAGTTTTCTCATCTGGAAAATTGGCATAACAACACCCACCACCAGGGTTGTTAGGAAGATTACTGGAGTTCAGACTAAGTGTGTGGCACACAGTAGCCTCTCTTCATGTGTTTACTATCATTGTCCTCAGCGGGACAGCAAGGAAGCAGTTTCCCGGGTACAGGGCTTGCAAAATTATCTGGAGTGGGTTTGGTTTTCTAGAAGTGACATTCTCCCCCCACCCTTTCCCCATTCCATTTTCCTGGTCAATTCACCAGGGCTTCATGATGAACTAAGGAATCCACCTAAGACTGTATAGTCATCCCAGCTGCACTTCATTGAGCACCCACTGTGTGTCCCCAGTACTGCTTACACATATTTTCATCAAATACATCAACCCTGTGAAGTAGATATTATCTTCATTTTATAGGAGATTGAAGTTCAGAGAGCTGACGTGATTTTCCCCCAAAGTCACAGAGTCCCAGGTTCAAACACGCATTCAGGCTACTATAACAAAGTACCACAGACTGAGGGGCTTAGACAACACACATGTATTTCTACAGATCTGGAGGCTGGAAAGTACAAGAGCAAGTCTCTGGCATACTTGGCGTCTGGTGAAAACCCCTTCCTGGTGCACAGGTTTCCATCAGCTTGCGGGTTCCTCACATGGTGGAAGGGCAAAGGAGCTCTCTGAGCTCCCTTTTCTGAGGGCACTAATCCCATTCACGAGGACTCCACCTCATGCCCTAATCACCTCCCAAAGGCCCCCACCTCCTAATGGCCTCATACTGGGGGTTAGGATTCTAACATATAAATCTGGGGGGACGCAAACATTTACTCCACGACAACCCTGTGATATTCCAAGCCACAAACACTACATTGCCCCTAAAAGCCACCTAGAGCCAAGGCGGGCATGGCAAATCGTGATGTGCCCTTCACGAGGCTGGGAGCCTGGGTAGGCTGTGATTGCCAGCGGTGTGTCTAGATGCAGGGCTATGGCGCTGAGCTGTCTTACCCTCTCCAGCAGGCGATGACTGAGGAAATGAGGCGGCAGCGCCTGGCTGAGGAGGGCTTTGGCAATGGGAAATCATAATCCCCCACTGCAGTGCGGCAGCCTGGGTTAGAGAGTTTAAATCTGAGTGTTGGGAGGAACCTTCACCCCACTGTGTCATGTCTCTTTTTTTTAAGTTTGTTTATTTTGAGAGAGAGAGAGAGAGAGAGAGAAGGGGAGGGGCAGAGAGAGAATCCCAAGCAAGCTCTACACTGTCAGCACAGAGCCTGATGCGGGGCTTGAATTCACGAACCAAACCGTGATGTCATGACCTGAGCTGAAACCAAGAACATTAACCGACTGGGCCACCTGGGCGTCCTGGGTCACGTGTCTGAAGGGTGATGCCCCTGCCCCTCCTCCTGAGAGTGGAAGGGCAACCGCCCTGATGGGTGAGTTTGTAGGAGGGACCAGCTCTGTCTTTGGCCTGCTCTTCGCTGTGCCAGTGAAGGCCCTTTCCCTGCGGACAAGGTCCTTTCCCACAGGGCCTTGCACTGGGTAGGTGGGCTCAGTTCAGGGATGGAGACTTAGGTCCTTCAGGACTATGATCTCTATCAGTTATCAATTTGTTTTTCCCCTTTCCTTTGTTTTGGGCAGCCAGGAGTGCCAAGGGGTATCACACATCTCCCACCTGGGGCGGGGGTGGGGAGGGCGGTGTTTGAGGCCGGTCAGCCTGCCTTATGCTCCCTCATCAGGTACCATAACTATTCCCATTACATAAATTAAAAACTGAGGTTCGGAAAAGTCCCTCCACACAGCTGAGTATATAGTAAATTCAGGGTTTGGTCCCAGGTGTGAGTCTAAAACTCCGGTTCTCACCACTACTGCGGTTCTGTAGAGGCAGGGGGAAGAAAACCATTCTCTTAGGTTCAGTAGCTGGATCATGTGAATTAAACTGATAAAAGACAGAACAGAAAAGATTTATTATGCAGGCACATGGGGCCTCACAGAAAAGATGTGAAAACTGAAAAACATTAGGCTTGAGAGCGTATAGGCCATTTTAACATAGGGTGATAAATTGTGGACAAGGGACAAGACAAAGGAAAAAGGGATCGGGTTTCTAGAAGTCATAAATTGTGGGAAGGTAGATATATGGGGGATATATAAGATATATGTAAGATATATGTAAGATAAGGGTTGTGTGGTAAGATTTGTAGTACGATGCATGCTCAAGTCAGTGCTATCTCCACTGATGAGAATCATCTCTTCTTCCTGATACGGGAAAGGGGCGGGGGATACCTTCACAAGGGGAACTTTACATTATCTTTACAAAGGGAAATTTATACGCTGTTTTTAGGCAGGAAGGAAGAGGACAGAGCTTCTCCTGTGTCTGCTGTTCCTCAATTGCCTTCAGCTCATAATCATCCTTATGCCAAAGTGGCATAGTTTAGGGTGCTATATTCTGGTCCCCTTCAGTTCCCCAAACACATAACACTGTTTTAAAAGGTCACAAATATTTATTAAGTCTATTATATGTTCAATATTATAAGGCTGGATTCTTGCCCTCAAGGAGTTTACACTAAGTATAGGAAGGCAAGACTCCTCAGCCTCAGACAGGTCCCTCAGTGGGGACAGTTGCTCTCTACATTTGGACAGAGTTTCTAAGTTTACTAGTGCTTCACACACACCATTCTGTCTTCTGTCTGACTGCCAGAAACAAGTGAGGCAGCCTGGTTCTCTTTTCTGTTTTACAGAAAACTGTCTTAGAAGTCAAGCAACTTACCCAAAGTTATCCAGCCTGGACATCTATCTCCACTGTTCTGCTCTACACACACACACACACACACACACACACACACACACACACACACACACCATACAGATGCCTATATGTAGCATCTGTATGTAGCCATGTTTGCTAATGGAGCTGGTACTGACTCCGATCTTGACTGGCCAACCTAAACTGGCCCCCACCCACCAATAATCATTAGGGAGAGGCTTTGAAGGAAATTTATTCCCCCCAGTCTGTGGCTAATGCAAGTTACTCACGTAAATGAGCTGGACAAGTCACTTGGACAGTATGTACAGGTCACTCAAAGAAAGAGCTATTTGAGGTATGTTCAGCAGGTTTTCCTTTTGTAAGGCCACAAGTCTAAACGTCTAAACCAAACTGACTCCATGACAGGCTTTAAGTTTCCTCTCTAAACTAGAAGGCCTGAGTTTGGCTTCCCCAAAACTATCAGGCAGTTACACATTGCCCAAGGCAGGAGACACCACCCTTGCAACACCCAATAAAGAAAGGCCAGCGACCACCCTCCACATTGTTAAGGAAGAGGCCTGGAGATAGAAACTATAGATAGGACCCTGTTACCTAATGTTAAAGTTAACCTGTTAGTCGCCGAACAAGACCCTAGGCTCGCTCTGTGATTGGTTGAATTTAAAGGTACTCTAAACGTAATTGGATCCCGCCAAAAGTAACGAATACTCTAGACAATGTGTATGGTCAAACCCGCTGTCAATGATGCTGAATAATTATGATTGGATCACAGTTCCCATGTCACAACTTCTGTAACTCCCCCGTCACAAACCCCATAAAAACCCTACTCTGCCCTTGTTCGGGGCTCTCAGCACGGATCCATTGCACTGGTGAGGTCTGGGAGCCCGAGCTCGAGCCCGTAATAAAGCCCTTTGCCTTTGCATGCGTGACTCGGTCTCCCTGTTGGTCTCTGGTCAGTGAGGATACTGCGATCTGGCTATAACACTTTGGGCAGACTGTTTCCTGTTAGCGCCTGTTAATGTGTCTGGAAAAGAACTAAATTAAACTGCATTTCATTGAAGACCTTCTACTTCAGATCTATTACAAATCCATACCAGAGTCTCCTTTTCCAGAATCTCCTACGACACTGGCAAGTTTGGCAGAAACACGGGTTGGCTCTAACAGCCATTCCCAATCAACCCTCTTCTCTTTCGTCTGCCTGCCCTAGGAGAGATGAAAACTCATTTCCCCAAGTACTCTGCAGCGAAGGGTGGTAAGGGAAGTCTGCTGCGGCAGCGGGCAGGTTTCTAGGAAATCTTATTTTTCTCTCTATGAAAGGAGACGACTGAAAATGTATTCTCTTGAAGTTCTGGTCAGCTCCCTGCTTTCTGTTTTTGTCTGAATTTCTGCTGGGATGTGAGATGAGAGCTGGAGCCAGCGCCACCAACAGCGGGAAATCCTGGCTTGTGGAACGTAGGCGCGGTGGGAAGAGTCGAGGGGCGGGACAGGAGGGGGCAGAAGAACGGCTGGCGCCTGGCGACCACAGGGCGCAGCGGAAAACCGAGGGCGGTGCGGCGGCGGATTAAGGAGCGCCGGCGGGACTCGTCTTCGCCCCGGCAGGCGTCGCCTCTCCGGCTCCAGGGGTGCGGCTTGTCCTCAATGGACGCGGCACGTTCTGGGGCGTGGTCAGCCGGACCGTAGAACCCCGCCTGCTCGGGGGCGGGGCTGGACGAAGGGGTGGGGCTGCGCCCCGTCGGGGTGTGGGCTGTGGAACCTCAGAACCCCGGCGACTCGGGGCTGGGGCGCGCGTCTCCCGGCGCGGGGTTCCTCCCACGCAGCCTCCCATTCAAAAGATGCCGAAGGGGCGGCGCGGCGGCCAGAGCCCAACCATGAGCCAGCGGCCTGCTCCGCCCCTCTACTTCCCGTCCCTCTACGATCGCGGCGTCTCCTCGTCTCCGCTCAGCGATTTTAACATCTGGAAGAAGCTCTTCGTGCCGCTGAAGGCTGGCGGGGCGGCGGCCGGGGGGCGGCCCCTCCCTCAGGCGCCCCTGCCGCCGCCACCCGGCCTGGGGCCCCCAGGCGAGCGCCCCTGGCCCCCGCCCTGGCCTTCCGGCCTGGCCTCCATACCCTACGAGCCTCTGCGCTTCTTCTACTCGCCACAGCCGGGGCCCGAGGTGGCTGCCTCGCCCCTGGCTCCCTGCCCCACCACACCCCGGCTCGCCTCCGCCTCCCACCCCGAGGAGCTATGCGAGCTGGAGATCCGGATTAAGGAGCTGGAGCTGCTCACCATCACTGGGGACGGTTTCGACTCCCAGCGCTGTGCGTGACCTCCTTGGCCGGCCTTGGCTCGCTCCTTGGCTCCCCACTTGGCTCCCCGCCTCCCAAATCCCCTCCCCGGCAATGTGGCCTCCGGCTGGAGTGCCGAGATCCCAGATCGACCACCCCCCCCACACCCCAGCACCCACACTTACCCCTCCTGGGTTTCAACCGACGCCTTCCCTCACCGCAGTCAGGATTTCATGAACACTCTTGTACCAAAACTCCACTGTCCCTCCATGCCGAGACCTTTTGGTAATCTGGACTCTGAATCTCCAAACCTCCATCCACCACCACCCCCATCCTGCACTTGACGCCTCCTGAACCATAACACTCCCATCCCCTGTGGTAGTAATACTACCAACACACACCACACACAACCCCTTCCTTTAGAGACCTGAGCCTTAAGTGTTCATCTTAACTGCGGTCCTCCATGGGAGGAGGGGGAAGCGAATGGCCGTTGGAGTGTCCGTGGGTAGAGGTGGGAATTGTACAAGACCCAGGAAGCCCAAGGACAGTTCACTGAGGGGCTCTGGGGCCTCCACTTCTCAATGCTGGAAGGTAACCTCCCTGTGAGCCCTAGCCCTGACTGTGATAGCCCTCTGACCAGGGTTTTGGACTCTGACCTCTGATGTTAGGGCTAAAGTCTTAGGGCTCTGGACCAGGGCAGACCAGGTGTGCCCTGATGTGGGCAAGTCTAGCTGCAAGCTGACTTGACTATTCTCCTTGAACGGTAAAGTTAAATCTGATTCTACTCCCATAAGGACCTGTCACACTAGAATATTCAGTAGCCATAGGCTGTTCTGCAGACTTTGTCTTCCCATTACCTGTTCCCGCTAAGGCTTGCAGTTCAACACTGGAGGAGGATAGATTGTTCTAGAAAGACTATCCCCATTATTGTGAACAACAACACAAGTTAAGTTGGCTCCTCCGCCACACACAGAAGGGGGGTATGAAATAACCTAAATATTTAGGTTAATGTGGCCATGACAATGGTCCTCAACTTATCAGGCACCCTATAAGGTCCTCTTCCCCACAGCCTCATTCCCCACAGAATCCCTAGAAAACCAGCCTTCTAAGTCCTAGATTTCTTTACTACATTTTCTCCACTGAAACATATTTTGGCTGTTAGGGGTTTTTTCCTACCCGTGTTGGGTTCTGGGCTCATGCAGGGAGCACACAATTGCTTCCCAGACGCTTACTTTGGAAGTGTTAGAGAAGCCCTTATCTTTACTACAGATATGTTTATTTTGCTCTCCTGCAGATAAATTCTTGAAGGCACTGAAAGATGAAAAGTTACAAGGACTGAAGACGAGGCAGCCTGGAAAGAAGTCGGCCTCTCCCTCCTGAGGAGCTGCCTCCCCGGAGCCAGGGACGCCGCCTCCTTAGGTGTTAGTGCTTAGATAATGTGTCCCATTTGTTGTCATTTCAAAGACCGTTATTTTCTGTTCTGTATTTAACTGCTGTTCTCATTGCTCCCAGCATTTTCTCCACATACAGTGCCCACTTGTGTGGTAAATCTCATGGTCTGTCTTCTCTTTGTGCTGCTGCTGGGGGAGCTCTTTCACAGGGCCTGGGAGCTGCTGCCCGGCTGGCATTCAGGGGACCCCCGACGCTGCCGAGTGGAGGGAACTGGGAAAAACCAAGGGCAATATATATTTGGTTGCGGTGCCCCTGCTCACAGAGGCTCTTTGAGGACTGGAACAGATAGTTTGTTTTCAAACAGCTTTAGTCCTGGGAAGTGTTTTTTGAATAGCTTTTGGACCACAAAACTCTTTGATGATCTGATCAAAGCCATGGTCCTTCCTAGAAATTCATGTGCTTATTATGTGCCCGGCACCCTCCTAGACTTTTGGGATTGGGAGTTGGGGAGACACAGACAATAAATATCATAATATGGTATCACAGATAACCTGCTAAGGGGAAAACAAGAATAGTAGGGCAGGGTTGGTCAGGAGGGTCAGAGGAAAGCAGGGTGGTGTTTCAAAATAAGGTTTCTAAAAGAGGTAACATTTAAAAAAAATTTTTTATTTAAAAAATTTTTATGGTTTACTTTTGAGAGACAAAGTGCAAGTGAGGGAGGGGCAGAGAGAGGGAGACACAGAATCTGAAGCAGGCTCCAGGCTCTGAGCTGCCAGCACAGAGCCCAACACGGGGCTTGAACCCACAAACTGTGAGATCGTGACCTGAGCCAAAGTCAGATGCTTAACCAATTGAGCCACCCAGGCGACCCTAGAAGAGGTAACATTTAAATAAGGTGTGAGGGAAGTTGAGGGTGCTAGCCATGTGGCACATGGGGGGAATGTTCCAGGCACAAGGAAGGGCCAGGGCAAAGGCTGCGGGTGGGAGCATACGGGGATGTTTTAGGGTCAGCAAAGAGCCCAGATGGCTGGAGCAGAAGGGACAATGGTAGGGGAGAGTACAGGGGGTCCTTTGTGTGGGACTTTGCAGCCATGGCAAACACTGTGGGTTTCACTCCCAGTGGGGGATGGAGTAGAGGGTTTTCAGCCAAGCGGTAGTGTCTGACTTGTTCTTCTAAGAGTAGGCTAAGGAAGGAAGCACGGAAAGCAAGAAGGCTGTCATAATTAATAATCCAACTAAGCAAGAAGTGATGGTGCAGCACAGTGTGGCCCCGCCCGGCCTGCCCCCCCCCCCCCCCCCCCCCCCCCCCCCCCCCCCCCCCCCCCCCGCTGGGTCAGAGGTGTCTATGGCCTGTGGCACCACCCGCGCTGCCAGGTGCTATCTGTATGGCAAGGAGGAGCGAGAGCTCAGCGACACAAGCCCACAAATAATATTTTAGGAAACAAGTCTTCATCGAGTGTAACATTTTGAGGCGTGGCATCTGGATTTCCTTGTGCCCTCCCGACGGCCGCAGCCACTGTAGAACATAGCCGAAGAATTTGTGACGTTCGGGCTTCGCGCAGAGGAGAACGGAAAGGAGTGACCCGTGACCCAGGCGTCTTAGAATCCGAGGGGAGGAGGTGCTGAGGAGGGGGCGTGGTCAGCTCTGACCAATAGCCCAGGGCCTGAGACTCACTCCCGGACTTGGCAACAAAGATTCAGTGTTGGTGATCTTGTCGAGAGCAGTTTCCGTTGAGTGATAAGGGGTTTAACGCCTGACCCGAGCCGCTTTAAGAGAGAAGCAGGGGGGACTGGCTGGGCAAGTGGTTTGGAGAGGCCTTTCTTTATAATGACGGGAGACCGGCCTGCCTGTTTGTGTCCGGGAGGGAGAAAAAGTTGTTGCGAACGAAATGACACAAAAGACAAGACACACACAAAGGACAGACACAGACACAACTCCGGCCGGAGGAACAATTCTACGCAAGCCCCTCTTGCGGTTTATTTTATATCCCGGTAACTGGAGACAAACTGAAACCTACAAGATGCATTCCTTTACCAATTAAGGGCAAGTAGCCAAACACATTCCAAGGACAGGGGGGAGCAAAGGGAGGAAGTGACCACAGCATGTTTACTAAGAGGCCTGCTCACAATTCCAGCCTCCTCCCTAGTTCTAAGGAGGGCATGTTCCCTCGTTTGCGAGCGGACCATTAAACCTGGATATTGTGTGCAGGCCTCCTGGCAGAGCACCCCGTTTGCAGGCATGCTTTGCCCAGGCAGGGAGCCCCGTGTGCAGGCACCTCCCCGCGTCCCTAACCACGCTTTCTTGTGTGGTCACTGTCGGGCTCCCACAAAAGTGATGACGGAGGAAACGAGGGATTGCTGGAATGGTGCCTTGAGCGGACAGATAGGGGGGACCTATTTTACAGTGGAGGGAGCGGCTGTGCGTGGAGCAGACACGAGCCAGGGGGAATCGCACCAGGCTCGGTCTGCGGTTTGAGGGTGCAGATGCCGGTAGATGGGGAAACGGCTGGTAGGAGCCAGGATGTTGCATACCCAGGCCCAGATGTTCGTGCAGTGACCCCGTGTTTGAGGACACAAATGCGCATGCCTGCAGGGCCCAGCTGGGAACCGTGGCAGAGCGTGCGGGGAGCCCCGTGGAGACTGGCAAGCGGCGAGCTTGCGGGGCGGCTAATAACCCAGTTGCAGCGGCGTGTTGCCCAGGCAGGAGCAGAGCACCGTGTCAGGTGGAAGTTTCCTGGCTTCTAAATCTTAGCAACGAATCCACGGGTCTCCGAAACACAGTTGGGGCCAAATAAAGGCTAGTGTGTCCCCCAGTTTGTAACCTCTGCTCTCCCAGTAGGAGCCCTCTCCCCCTGGGCAGGGTTTCCAGGCCCCTACTCTCCTCCCCAAGAAGAAGGTAGATTCCTATTGCCCCAAGCTGGTTGTTACTGGAGAAGGTCCCTTGTTCACCCTGAAAAACTTCAGGCTGGCAAAGCCAGTGAGAGAGGCTGGAGAATTTTAATGAGAGGGAGGGGAAAATCAAGGGCAATGTATTCTGTGGGGGTCTGTTTCCTGTTCCCTCCCCTGTCCCATCAGCTCTCGCCCCCTGGTTAATCCCTAACGGCTCACCTCCTTCCCCACCAGGCTCTGGTAAGATTGGCCACCTATTAATTGCTTACCATGTGCCAGGCACAGAGGGAGACAACGGACATGAACAATTCAGTCCTCACCATCACCTTGTGGAATAGGCACGACACTTGGGGTATTTTATAAAAGAGAGAGGAGAGGCTCCTCCAGAATAAAATGGAATGGAAGAGTCGGCTTGCCAAAAAAAAGGCTGTTGGCACATGAAAATGACAGGAGTCCCGATGGAGAGGACAGCATATGCAAGGCATAATAGATGAAGGCAGTGGCGTGCTGGAGCCAGCTTGAAAAGCTTGTGAGAGCCAATTGTTAAAATTTAGGAATTTTTCAAGCTGGTTGTTAAACACAGCCATTATTAACAAGTAAACCGCATCAGGGCGCCTGGGTGGCTCCGGCAGTTAAGCATCCAGCTTTCAATTTCCAGTCAGGTCATGATCTCATGGTTTGTGAGATTGAGCCCCGTGTTGGGCTCTATGCTGACAGTGCGGAGCCTGCTTCAGATCGTCTCTCTCTCTGCCCCTACCCCACTTGCTCTTCTGTCTCTCCCAAAATAAAGAAATAAACATAAAAAAATTAAAATATATCAACTCACAATTAAACTATATTTACAACCAAGTTAATAAAGATTCAAAATTCATCACTTCCTAATTAGTTTTGCTACATTTCACAATTACATAATGTTCTTGAGGCTATGTCTGTTTGCACTGCTATAGTTGGTGAAAATACTATATAATGGTGTACCAATGTGCATTACTTCATAATAATGTCATGTTAGTATTTTGATTTTGGCCATCATGAGAGTTTTTACACCATGGAAACTGGTGAATGTACACATCAGGTTTGTGCCTACCCATCTCCACTCCGCCAAGGTGCTGGTTGTTAAAACATCCACTAGCACACCACCAGATAAATGAGAAACAAAAGTACCACTTTGTCTATCACTGAGCTAAATAAAGAAGCTTCTCTGAAGCATTTGAAGTTGGGCTGATGGTATAAATGGGCTTCCTTCTTCCTCTGGCCTGATTTGCCCACTCAGCTGCAGACATGGCAGAGGCAGGAAAGAAGAGCCTGGTCCAGCCTGCCCACAAAGGCTTTACCCTGAAACAAACAGGTTTTCACGGAGCACATGTGTACTGGCTTAAGATGTCATAACCTGCCCTCAGGTGATGTAGGGAGTCAGATTAGTGACTTCTTTTGGGTAATAAGGGTACAGGGAATCCAGAGGGAACAGCCTGCAGGTGGGGGACCAAAGTCCCTTCTCTCCAGGGGTAACTGTTTTGAGCAAGATGGAACATGCAACTTCATTAAACACGACACCAGCTCTTTATTTTTATTTTTTATTTATTTTATTTTTTTAAAATTTAATGTTTATTTCTGAGAGAGAGAGAGAGAGAGACAGCGTGAGCAGGGGAGGGTCAGAGAGAGAGGGAGACACAGAATCGGAAGCAGGCTCCAGGCTCTGAGCTGGCTGTCAGCACAGAGCCCGACGCGGGGCTCGAACCCACAAACCGTGAGATCATGACCTGAGCCGAAGTCGGACGCTTAACCGACTGAGCCACCCAGGCGCCCCAACACCAGCTCTTTAAACCACACCTCCTTCGTCACAGATCTGTTAGTCCTGAGAGAAATACAAAATTCAAATGTAATGGGAAAACCTCCCACTACTTAATGCCAGTCGCTTGTTCCCCACTCAAAAGCCAAAGGAATCAGACAGGATCTGGCACCTGCAGGAGCCTAGCTTCTAGGGACAGAAGGGAGAGAGAGCCTCTCACAGGTTTAAAGCTTTCACCGGAAGCCAACACCCCGTGGCTGCCTCATGGCACACTGGCCTTTTCAACAGTGTCTTGATTGTGTCACCAACCAGATCTGTGGCCTTGAGAAAGTCCTACCCAACCCCTCTAAACCTGTTCCCTCATCTGTCAGATGGAGGTATTGCTCACACAGGATGGCTGGGTCGGGGACAAGAAAGAAAAAGGGACTGTTGTGAAGCTGCCCCCAGTTGGGAGGAGGGTGAGTCTTCTAGAGAGGGCCAACCACAT